AACAAAACAAAACAAAACACAACAAGAAAGAAAACCTTGTAGTTCAAGGATTGTTTGTTTGCATTCCCTTGTGTGGTGGGTCAGTTAGGGGCATCATGACATAGTGGGGTCGGCATGTGGTCCTCTCTGTGGACTGGCTGCTCTAATCGGGTACATCATCCTCAAGGCTTGGTGGGCCAGGATGTGCTCCACTCTCTCCTCCTCCCCCTTCATGTGCTCCGATCAGATAGGACCCTCTCCAGGAGCTGCATATTCAGTGCCGTCCTTTGAAATAAATTCTTCTGGGGGGAGGGGCAGATGTCCACATAGTAGTTGGGGTTGGGGCCGGCCCTTCAGAACTCTCCACTGGTTCTCTACTCCACGCTGGCATGTTGCATTCACGTCTTAGAGCACTGGGTTGAAGTCTGGTCCCTCTTTCCCTGTGGAGATATAAACAATACCCCTCCCTTCAGTGGGTTAGTGCCCTGTGCCCCCGCTATCCATTTCTTAAAGAGATCTTATGCAGCAGATTTACCTAATGCAATGTGCACTTTAATCTGTTGACTGCTGCTTCCTTGAGAATTGATTGTAGAGAATGGAACTGTCTTTTAAAAATGTGCTACTATAGATTGAAGGAGAGAAGTTGGTGATCAGTTTTAATTTGCAGGAAAAGGTAATTTAGCACGTCCTTAGTTATGTGTTGGATGTTGGTCATCTTCCAGTGTTACCAAGGTGGAGGCCTGTACTCACTGACAGCTGGCATCATAAGCAGATAAGCCTCCCTAAGAGAGCACAGCAGAGGCTCTGAGGTGGGGTGTGAGAGGATCAGGTGATCATAAAGGCAATATGACCATCTGGAGGGTGGTGACACCATAAATAAAAATGCGTAGACTTTTTAAAATACTTTATACTTTTTATTTCCTTTTAAAAAAATTATAGTAAATAAAATACATAATGAATCATTTGCCTTGTCAACCCTTTTCACATATAAAAATTTGTAAAAGAGAACGTTGTGAATTACACCGATTACAAATACAGTTGAAAATGGGGGGGGGGAATGAGTTTGGGGGATGCTACCATTTTGTCCCCTTTAAAGCCATGAAGTGGCAAACAGTATATTAGCCAAAGACGGCTGGAGAGCTGGATGATCAGTCCGTTCTTCATGTGTCCCTCCAATAACAGCCACTTCAAAAAGGGCGGTTCCGTTTGGCACCGATTCCGTAGTTGAAATTGAAAATCTGGTTTCTGTTGCTTTTTCTTCTGTATGGGTATCCTTCGCAGGCAAACATTTAAGACTTTATTATTTTGTTCTTTTCATCTAGGCCCTTATGTAAGGGACTAAAGGAGAGGAAAATCTACAGGATGAAAAGATGGCCGCATTGCCTCCTCCAGGACCGCAAAGCTTTGCCCACTTCACGAAGCAGTCTCTCGCCCTCATTGAACAGCGCATTGCTGAAGGGAAAACACAAGCTCCCAAAGAAGAAAAGAAGGATGAGGAGGAGGAAGGCCCCAAACCAAGCAGTGACTTGGAAGCTGGCAAGCCGCTGCCCTTCATCTATGGGGACATCCCTCCCGGCATGGTGTCAGAGCCCCTGGAGGACCTGGACCCCTACTACGCAGACAAAAAAGTGAGTTTATCTCACTGCAGTAGCAGGGTTTCGCTTGTTTCTTTCTTCGCAGGGTGATAAATCACATTGAGATGAAGTAGGATTGACTGAGCGATCAATACAATAGTGTCAGATTAAATGAATCTGTAGGATATGCGGAATATATACTTAGAATGTTTTCATCAAATTGGTTCTAAGACCAGCACACTACTTTTTAATTCCTTCATTTTTAAGATATATATTTCATATGTGATCATTTTCCTATGGGGATATAAAATAAAAGCACATGGGTAGAAACAATAACAACAAAAAAATCCCACCAAAATAATCATCAATTTAAGAAATCAAAAGCAGAATGCAATTTAACTACTGAGCCCATGGGACTATGCACAGCTGTACAAGTAACATAGTTACAAGAGGAATTTCATTCAAGCTATTGGAGAGGAGGATCAGTTGCAGATGATCAGATGGACAAAACATAAAGTTAAAAAAACTATTGTTCAAGACAAGAAGGAAAGCAATTATATAATAGATAATACAGAAATTTTGGGGTGAAAATAGGCTATTCAATTGAAAGGGGGCACAGGTGGCTTTTTGCAAGTGTGTGCTGGAAATCAAAGCAAAATATTGATGGATCCAAAAAAAGAAGAGGAGTAAATGGGTAGCCAAGCAGCCTGCTGAGAAAATTTCCTCCAGAATAAATGGAAATGCTATTTAAAAGTGGTTATTCAATAGCATGCTTGAAAATGAAGCAGAATTTCCACAATCAGAAAAAGAAAATATATTGAGAGACAGATACTATCAGCTGTAACCAGTTGTTGAAGTTTACCAATATGGTAACAACAACAACAAAAGTACTGTTATTGAACAGTTTGCATGTATTGACATTAGGAAAGAAGAGAGAAGCCTTGTTTGAGATTTGAGGGGTGAATACCAGACCCCAAACCATTGCTATCAAGTTGACCCTGACTTAGAGAGTCTCTATAGGACAGAGTAGAGCTGCTGGTGGAATTTCTGAGGCTGCACATTTCCGTGGAAGCAGTCTGTCTCATCTTTCTCCCTCAGCATCATGTCGGCTCAAACCACCGCCTTGCAGTTAGCAGCCCAATGATGGACCACTCAGGCTCCTTGAGGGGGAACGGGGTGATGCATTTATGCTGAAGTAAATATAGACACATAGGGTTGTAGGAGTGGGAACTAACTTGATGGCTCCCAATCACCGTAAATGTAGGCACATCACAGGAAAGTCACATTCGTGTGTCACTGTCCCATAATACAGGAGTTGCAGTTGTCCTTTGAGTGTCAGCATTGAAAATAGCAACAGTGGAGAAGGTCTTGCTGGCTTTGGAGACATAGTAGAAGGTTTGAAGTCACTCCTCTAAGGGTTTTTCTATGAGTAAGTGGGAGGGGATTAGAGTGATTTCTGAGTATTAGACAGAATCAGGTTGAATATGAAAAGCAGGAGGGAGAAGGTTTAAATCAGCAGTTTCCATAACATTTCACAACAATGGTTTTGCTGTATGGCACTTGTAGACTTATTACCAAAGATTGGGTGCTCTATCCTATAAAGTCACCATGAATTGGAATCCACTTAACAGCAAAGAGTTGTATAATATCAGCAAACTGATACTACTATTAACTAAGAATCTAAACTATACCACTAACTTATATTAAGTTAAACATCAGTTTAGCTTAAGAACTAAGTGGTGGAACTAAATCAGAACTGCCCAGCCCCAACACTTAGGCTATTTAAGCCTCATTATATTCTAAATTTATGCTCAGTACACTTTTAAGTGAATAAGGAAACTGAACAGAATTCATTCAGACTATGAGATCTCTGCCTCTGATATTAGGATGCCATAAATGACTAGACTCGTATACCGACAACAACAACAAAAACCATGTCCACTGCTATCGGGTGGATTCCAAGTCATAGTGACCTTGTAGGGTAGGGTAGGTCTGTCCCTGTGAATTTCTGAAATGTAACTTTTTATGGGAGTAGAAAACGTCATCTTTCTCCTTAGTTCCTGGTGGTGGTTTCAAACTGTTAATCTTGTGGGCAGTGTCCCAATGTGTAACCACTATGCCACCAGAGCTTCCAGAACTCATATACAGATACCAAAAAAATTCCTTGGGCATACCTGTTTTCCCTAGCTATAATTATTGTTGTGAATGTTTAACCCCAGAATAAGTTAAAATTTCTCATTTAAATTACAGACAAAAATGCTAAATAATGTGAGTACAAGATCACTTGGTCTTCCCACAACTAAGTATTGCTGCGATTTTCCTCTTAACTCAGATGAACTCTAGCTTAGGGAAGCTTTTCTGAAAATTCAAATGGGGATGTGACCTTTTTCCCCATTTCACTTTCATACTCCTGTATGTCATACCTGTTAATCCTGCCTTTTAGTAAAATTATTATTTCTATCATCAATTTTATAGTAAATGTAATTTACTAAGTACATTTTTGTAATTTGATCAAATGTGAAACTTACATTTCTAACCCTCTTCACTATCTGGTGTCACAGTTGCTTTCAACATAATTGTGCAAAGAATGATTTAAATCTTGAGAGAAAGCTGATGGGGGAAAAAAAGTTGAACTCAAAGACTATGCATTACTTTCAAAACTAATATTCAGCATGAAGGTGGGTTTTAGGGTATGTTTCGACATACACATAGTGATAAGAATCGGTTAGGCCAGGTTGACTAGAGAAACAAAACCAGTGACACACACTCATATATGTGTAAGGCAGAACTTTATAAGAAGCCTTATAGATCAGGAAAACACCTCCGCCCAGTCCAACTCAAGTCCGTAAGTCTGATGCTAGTCCATAAGTCCCTCTTCAGACTCACGCAGGCACAAGCAATGATGCAGAGTGCAGGAAGATCACAGACCTGTGGGTGCAAAGTCCTGTAGATCCAATGGCAGTGGAAGCATCACAAGGCTCTGGTAGGTCTCAACGCAGCTCATCCACAGAAAGGTGAAGGCAAAGAGATGAGGGGGAGGTTCCCAGGACCCTCTTGATGAGAAGACCACACCTACCAGGAGGCACCATCAGGCTGTGATCTGATTGACAGGCCAGACCCCAGCCCTACACTCTATTTATCAAGTTGACATGAAATTATGTACCTACCACAAAGAGGAACCCAGAAAATACAGTAGATCTGGAATCATACATTCGGTTTCATTTAATTGAAACCATTGATACATACACTTCAAAGCCAGATGGTCAAATGTATCTCCATTTGGTAAAAAAGAGAAAAAGAATTACTGTCAGCATTCCATTCATAAAAATATTTATAAAATTCAGATTAAACAAAAAGACTTCTAGATAAATCACACTGTTTTCCTGCCATTGTAGAAAAACAGGACAGATATTTGAACTTGGCCCTTCTAGTCAAACGTTTACTTGATGCCTGAGGTAATTTTAGGGTATTGTTATTTGTTTGATTTTTAAAATTTTTTTTAGTTAAATACCAATGCCATGGAGAGTCATGCTCACTATGCAGTTGTTACAGTAATATGTGTTTTAAGAATGTGTGGGTTGATTAGTAATATTTCTAAATAACCACAGTAGTTAAATTTTAAAAACAATTATTATTTTTGAAAGTTACAAGTGAGTCCCTTAATTTGCCTTCTTCTGTTTTGGCTGTAATTAGTATTGCATCTAAAGTTTAAAAAAAATGTACTGGATGATTATAAGGATTCTTCCAAATCTGATAGCTCCTACACTTAGGAAATATATTTCTAAGACAATTCATATTTGAGAATATTTGCTACTGACAAGGAAAACTACCAAGTCCTAAAATGATCGAGGTTTATAATAGAAATCAATAATAGTTAGTGCTACATGGTTTGCTAACAATGCAATGGAAGAGAATGAAAGTTGTTTTCTTTCTTCTAATGAAAGAGAAGAAAGTTGTATTGTAAACTAATCTCAATGGACACAAGTTAGGGTTGCTTATTTAGGATTTGAAGGAAGGTAAAACAGAGAAAACATCATAATTGGGGGATTTCTAAACACTGCAAGCTGATAAATGGCCTAATCCTTCATTTACGAAAAATCAATAGGTATTTGGAGTTCATTGGCCAAGGTCACAGAGAGAGTTGCATCAAGGGCACCAGAGCCGGGTTGCCTGAATCTTACAGGTTTGTTTTTTCCTTTCTCAGTCCAGCACAACCATGCCGAGAGGGAACTGCTGATAGTGATATGGTTCATTGCACGTTTGACTTCTCAGCCTCACTGTTTTTTTTCCCTCCTCCAGACGTTCATAGTATTGAACAAAGGAAAAGTCATCTTCCGCTTCAATGCCACACCTGCCTTGTATATTATATCTCCTTTCAACCTGCTACGAAGACTATCTATTAAGATTTTAGTACATTCATATCCTTTTTCAAAATGCTTACTTGCAGGGATATATTAGCATGTAATTTTTGAATGTTCTACTCAAATGTGGACTCGAGTCCTTTTGCACGTGGAAATACTCTGGTTTTCAGTTTATCCATTTCAATATTTAGGAAATGGCATGGAGACCACCTCTGACTGCCTCTGGCTTTATCTGGGAGTTAGGTCACACAACTCCACCTCTGCCCGAGGTTGATTCCTGTGAGACAGAAGTCAGACATGCCACTACTCTCCTGACTTCTTTATCCGATTCTCATTGCAGTCGACCCTTCCAGGACACTGCTTTGCTGCCGCGCTCAGTAATCTGATGCCATGGCCATACAGAACTCATAGAAAATATTCAAAATAATAGAGGTTTATTAGGGAAGTTAATATGGTGTAAGTCATGATCTGAAATGTTAAGGATGCAGTTCCTATATCTGCAGCAACTTTTGTCAGCCATGCCCAAAGACAAATCTCTCTCTGGCCCTCAGCTGCAGCCACCAAGTCCCTTGGCCTCTGCCCTGCGTGGACGAGTGGTACAAAGCTCCTTTAATGCTGATGAATCCCCAAAGCCCTTTGGCACCCTACCCTGCAAGCCAGCCTCCCGACTGACACTGTTTTACTCCTTCTATGAGCCTGGAGTCTGCAGCTGTGTCTCGGGCTGCCACGGACACTTATTCACATGGAATCTTGGACAACCCTTATTTACTCATAGTGGTAGTGGCATTCTTACACCTTATTTGCATGTTCCCATCTGGTCACTTAGTGAGCATTATAAAGACTGTGGATTGAAGAGCTGCGACCAGCTGTACCACAAATCGAATTTGGTATCAACCTCTGAGAATATTGGGAAAATGTCAGTTATTATTTTAGGATGCATTACCTTTTTCTATTGCACTCTTGCTCAGACAAATGCAACATTATCTGTAAGCTCATTGAGAGTAATTTTCTCAGGAAACGTTAGCATGTAAGCAATTATCGGTATGAAACACTCGAAGGTCCTGTCGTGTTCTTGTCATTATTCCTTGATTCTGAGTTACCTTGTTCAGCATGCTTATCATGTGCACGATTTTGACAAACTGCATATTTATGACATTGAGCAACCCTCCCGAATGGACCAAGAATGTGGAGTAAGTGCGTAAAATTACATTTTAACGTCGTTTTCGCATGATCATTTTTATCCTTCCCATTTTCTGCGAAGAAGTGACTGCTTCTATAAAACCAGTGGTGCTTCTCTTCCCCATGTTACATAGATGATTCCCGTTTCATTCTTTCATTGTCCTCTATGACCAGAACCCACTAGTAGGAAGTTTGACAATTAGACGTCATGCCTTGTTCTTAGAGATGTCAAATTCCCTTATCCTTGGAGCCTAAGGATAGCCTGATAGCAGCAGTGTAGGGATTTTCCGGGAGATCCAAGATCTATGTTTTTAGTTATTGCAAATACATCGACTCACGGGGAGTGGTTTTGGTCGGTGAGTTTTATGATTTTTCTGGGATGACCTTTAGGTAGTTTATCTTAAGAGTCAGAGTGGACCGACAGCTAGTAGTCATGCTCCGGCAAGTGGACCTTAGGCTAATGACAAAAGTGACAAAGATTCAGATGACCTTGGGATGTACGGTCTTTTCACATCTCTCTTTCAATGGATTCTTGTATCTAGGTATACTTTTACTGGAATATATACTTTTGAATCACTTATTAAAATCCTTGCAAGAGGCTTCTGCATAGGACAATTCACCTTCCTCCGTGACCCATGGAACTGGCTTGATTTTATCGTCATTGTTTTTGCGTAAGTACTTTACAGTTTTCTGAAATGACAGTGAAAATCTCAGACAGCACAGTAGGGCAGTAAGGATCAGGCTTAGATACTTGATCTTTTTTGTATGTAGTGATTGCATTCAAAGCTTATGTCATGAGAATAAGTTAACTGACAAATCTCTCAGAGTGAGTATTCCCCCCTCCACAGTTTATCACATAATTACAATTGAGCCTTCTTCCTCCACTTTCAGATCTGGGATGGATAGTATACGGGGTTCACACCTTCTCCAAGTTCTTGTTTAAACTAAAAACTATTTAGGAAGCTCTGAAAGAGAAAAAAAAGCAACAAAAGACTCAGGCCTTTACTTTTAAGTTGGTGCTCTTTTCAGTGACCTACACAACTCAAGAACAAATCAGTATATCAAAGGACTGAAGTCCGTCTTTTTACGCAACTTGTTTAGCCTAGCATCAATGCACTGAGTTATTTTTAGGGGGGAAAATACTACATTAAAATAATAGTTTTAATATATTCATGTTCTTCCTCTTACTATAAATACATTGGTTAGAAATGTGTCTTTTGGTTTTTAATCTCAGATCTAGATGTAAATGTTTTCCCATTTACCGTTTTCAGTTTTAAAATGATGCACCTTCAGTGGGTTAATTTAAACAGCAAGCCTTAAATACAGCGCGTCCTCCCAGACTCCCTCCGCCTGCCCTCTTCCTGGTCTGGCAGATGAGTGCTGCAGCTCTGCCCGCCACCTGCTGGTGCGACAGCACTGTGGCAGCGAAGGCCGCTTGTTCTGAAGCTCCTTTGGTTTTGAGACATAATTCCCGTACTATAAAGTGCCCCCACCCCCACTACAGAGTTGTGCTACTTTTTTTTTAAGTGCTGCCATTTTGATTTGGATTCATAGCGATCCGATCCTATGTACACCAGAAGAAAATGCTGCCAGATCCTGTACATCTTTATAATCTTTGCTATATTTAAATGTCTTACGGCTGCCACCCAGTCAACCCATCTCATTGAGGGTCTTCTCCTTCCCCGACCAGCTACACTACCAAACCAGATGTCTTCCTACTTCCACCATTACTGGGAAGCAATTTAAGAACATTGTTCTCACCTCCAAAAAAGCTTCCTTCCCATTGGCAGTCATTTGCCCCTCCCTTGTCCGTCAATCTCTGAAATCATATGAATGCTTTCTGGCTTCCCAGATTTGCCTCCTCTCAACATCTTATACGAATGGAATGGAATCATTTCATACCTGCCCATCTTCTGTCCCTTATTGTCCTGTTTTCAAGTCTGGCTGATGCTTTATAGGAAATTAAATATTTACATTTAGATAATGTTGAGGGACAGATCATTGAAATGTTTGACTAATTGGATAGGCATTTATAATATGTACTTTTGATAACATAATATGTATTTTATTTACATCAAATGAGTCCAATTAAACTAAATAAGAAAAGAGATTTATAGAACTATCTCTTGAGTTTGAAACATGAAAGGAGTTTGAAACCTGAAAAATACACTGACTAAAGGCGCAGGTAAGTATCTCAGATTCTATCTAAATTCTGAATGACTCTGATTTAATCCTACAGGTATTTAACAGAATTTGTAAACCTAGGCAATGTTTCAGCTCTTCGAACTTTCAGAGTCTTGAGAGCTTTGAAAACTATTTCTGTAATTCCAGGTAAGAAGTAACTGGTGTGCAGCATTAGACCATGCTTAACTCCAACTCTTTGGGAGTTGTTCTTTGTTTGTGTGTGTGTTGTCATTGTGTTTGTATATAAACTTATTACAGATATGTGACAGAGTTTGTGGACCTGGGCAATGTCTCAGCGTTGAGAACATTCAGAGTTCTCCGAGCACTGAAAACAATTTCAGTCATTCCAGGTGAGAGTGGGATTAAACACCGAGGCTGACTTTGATCCTTTGGAGGAAAGACAAGAAAACTTTCTCTTGTGCAATTTTAATTACATTTTATTTCTGAAGGTTTTTTTTTTTTTCAAAATTATTATTAAAAGTCACCCTGGATGTTTAATCAGTTGCATGGTTCTTGGAGGATGAATGTGGCCACTTGGCTTACATCTCAATTTGAAATTTCCCTCCTGTATAAGAGGTCATCTTTCATTTTGCTTATCCAGGAATGAAAATTTCAATCAGGTTTAGTTGTTTTTAATATAGTCAAAGAAAGAGATAATACGTATCAGCATGGGGTTATTGCATGACATTACGTTCTGTGCTTTTCTTCTGCAAACCATTTCTTCATTGAAAAATAGTTCATTATAACGTTATCAGTAGGTGCTGTAATGCAGCCTACTATTTATGTTGGTGCTATCATAAAGAAATGCTTGTTTTGACAAACATTCAGCGAATTAAACTTTAAAAGATAAGTTTTAAAAGTGAATGAGATATAGCTTCAGCAATCAAGTTGTGTATCTGGAAAACTTGAGTACAGGTAGTCCTCAGTGTACAACATACTGGTGTTTTGACACACTGCAGCTCTAACCATCCATATTGTAGGTGGTGGTTGTTGCTGTGTGTGTGTGTGTATGTGTGTATGTACATCTCACCAGTAGTAATAAGTGCTACATACAGTGTAGCAATGCATAATTTGCTGATGCCATCAGGTCTGTAATTTTATATGTAATATTCCTAACCTCCAAAGTTCAAATTTATAAACATAATGATAATAAAAGGCAATGGAATGAAAACTCAATAAAAACAAAAACAAAAGTAATGACAAGTTCAACTTACATCAGAAATGATAACAGTTACCAGACAAAACTCTGTCGTAAATTGTCGTCTACCTGTACTCATTAGGAATATCTTACTATTTTTAATTATTCACTGTAATTTATGGAAACAAAATAAATTTAAAATGGCAAATGCACCCTTTTGAACTAGCAGGTTTTAAAACTCAAGGTACTGAAGGTCATTCATTTGGTCCAATGCATGCATTTCTAGGAGAGCCTGTTTTTGTTTTATATTCACAGGCTTTATTTCATGATGAATTCCTCCCCTTCCTGTTTCCAGGCCTGAAGACCATCGTGGGGGCCCTGATCCAGTCAGTGAAGAAGCTCTCTGACGTCATGATCCTGACTGTGTTCTGTCTGAGTGTCTTTGCCCTGATAGGACTCCAGCTCTTCATGGGCAACCTGAGGCATAAATGTTTTCGAAATTCTACTGAAGTGCTAACGAGCCTAATTGGTACTCTGGAAACAGAAGAGGACTATAAAAGTAAGACCGTCCCTGCAATTTTCAATAGGTTGCAATAAGATTGAAAGCATTGCTCTCTTTAACAGTGTGACATGTTGGTTTTGCTTAAATTTTTTTTGAATGAATCGAAGAATGAAACTTGCTACTTACTTGTAAGTCTAAGCTTTCTGATTGCAATTCTTGTAATGGGAACATAATCATTCCATTACTCCCAATTTCTATAAGATTAAAAAAATCAGTTTACTCTAGAGAAATAAATATAGCTTTGAATGAATACAAAAAAATTAGTGCATTCAATGGTAGTATATTTATAGTATACTTGCATATACACTCTAGTATATACAGAATATATTATATACATACTACATTTACATATACAGTGTAGTATATACTATGGTATATACATATGTGTATACATATTGTATGCATTTTATATGTATCTATATGTGGTGTGTGTGTATATTATGATTGAATACACTACTGAATAATATCCATGCACTCATTAATATATACATAGATATATGTGTGTATATATGTATATGTGTGTATGTGTGTGATAGATAGCATTGTGTATATTAAACTGTTATATTATGGAATCCTGTGCTTACATGCTAACCAAGAGTGCCCGTGGTTTGAGGCCACCAGAGGCTTGCTGGGTGGACAGACCTGTTAGTCTCCTCCCCTAGAGAGCATAGCACAGGAAACATGATAGAGCAGCTCTGCTCTGTCACACGGGCCACAATAAGTTGGAATCAATTCAATGGCACAAAACAAAAAAATAACATTGTTAATTGAGGGGACTTCAGAATGTAGAGAAAATTTCATTATCTCAATTAGATTTTTCTGTGATTTTTTTTCCCCATGAACCTTTTGAAGCCCCCTCATAATAGTTAATATACTTAAGTTTATCATATGATGCAATATATATTTATGTCTTTGATCATTTTATTGGGGGATCTTACAACTCTTATAACATTCCATACATCAATTGTATCAAGCATATTTGTACATATGCTGCCATCATCATTTCCAAAACATTTTCCACTGAAGCCCCTGGTATAAGCTCCTCGTTTTCCCTCCATTCTCACCCTCCCACCCTCGTGAGTCCTTTATCAATTATATATTGCTATTATTATCTTACACTTTCAATTGCCTCCCTTCACTTACATTTCTGTTATTCATCCCGTTTGGTGGGGGGCTATATATCCAATCTTGTGTAGGGGTCCTCCTCTGTCCATGGTAGTATAGTTATATTTAGTACAGCTGTTCAAAGCCCCAGCATCTGCATGAGAGAAAGATGTATATTTATATTCCCATAAAGAGTTACAATATTGGGAACCCACTGGGGCATTTCTACCCTGTCCTAGAGAGTCACTATGAATCAGAATTGGCTTGGTGACAGTGAGTTTTTTTGAATAATTATTATCCTATATGACTATATGTCTTTTGATAATATTTCTAAAGATTCATTTAAAGTCAAGCAACTAACTTAGCTTTATCAGTACTGTCCTTAAAACCAGCAATGAGTTTCATAGCTGCTTCTAACTGTGTTCCTTGATGAGGCTGATATTATCAAATTGAAGTTTACTTTAATTTTGAAGTTAAGTTTTACTTTGAACTAGAAGAACTAGTTTATTTGGTACCAAATGGGATCGTTTGTACACACAGTCTCAGGAACCTGCTTACTTCAAAAATATATTTATGAGTATCTGGCATAAAACATGGCCTTCATGTTCTTTAAACAATTCCTAATATGTTGCTTTCACTGTAACTATTGAAGGGCATTTAAATAAATAAATGGAAAAATAAGCTCACTGTTATCGAGTTGATTCTGACTCATGGCAACCCTGTAGGACAGAGTAGAACTGCCCCTGTGGGTTTCTGAGACTACAACTCTTTACAGGAGAAGAAAGCCTGGCCCCTCTCCCATTGAAGAACATTAGGGGCTGGAAATGATGCCAACATTGTACTTTTTCCTGCATACCTGCAATCTATCCACATGATGTTGCCCCATGGACCCATTAACCTCAACAGATCATTAAGCACTAGAGATAGCTTCATGGGTGACAAAAATCAGTAAACAATTAATTGCCAAAAGGTCCACGGTTTGAATTCATTCAGAGATGCCTCACAAGAGAGTCCTGGCTATCTGCTTCGGAACTGTCACCGCCTTGCAAACCCAGTGAAGGATTTCCACGCTGCACACATGGTCTCACCATAAGTCCGCATCAACCGAAGGGCAGCTAATAATAATACCAACAGAGCCAGGGATGGCACTGAAATCAATCAAGCTTTTACACACACACTTGTCTTTGACAGAGGATATTGGAGAGTGAAAGTCAAAATCCTCTGAGAAGTATGCATATTATGTATTTATTTTACTAAAGTGTACATCCCCTCTCACTGGAGAACCAGACTTTTTTTTCCCAAGAGGAATAGAAAGAGACCTTGAGGTATGGAAATTAACCTCATATTTTATTTATACATGGGACCCTGATGGTGTAATGGTTATGCATTGGGTTGCAATCTGCCTGGTTGGCAGTTTGAAACCACCAACAGCTCTGTGGGAGAAAGACTGGGCTCTCTACTCCTGTAAGTAGTTACCGTCTCAGACACTAACAGGTGTGTCACTGTGAGTCAGCAGTGACTCGATGGCAGTGGGTTTGATTTTTTGTTTATACATAGCGAATTACAGCTTGACTAACAATGAAATTTATTTTGTAATCTCTTCCCCCAATTATGTGCATAACTCATTTTGTTGTCCTGTGGAGCTTTAGAGAGCAGATATATGAGCCAAGTGTGACTTTGGTGTCTTGCCTACTTATTGTGTCTAGAGGCCATGTCTGGCTGTTAAATTTCATTTTTCAACAGGCATTTATTAAGTATCTCCTCTGTGCTACATGTTGTGTACGTTTCTGAAGCCATGGAAATAAACAGGATAGTCTCAAATTTCACAGACTATATATTCTGGATTAAAAGAAGGGGTATACTTCGGGGCCATCCTTTCAGCCTCAACCAGAAAACACCCCTAAAGGTCAACAAATAGACCTGGAACTATGTAAAGAATTTTCTTTTTTTCTTTTTGCTCTGTCTTGATTTTGTGCTTACTGTTGTCTCTGCAGGTCTATCTAGATAAGATAGGCGGGATAAACAATCCAGAGGAGAAAACAATGGGACCGATGGTTCCAGGGGCACATGGGAGACAGGGAGGCGGGGGACAGGAAATTGGTGTTTAGGGACAAGGGAAGAGCAAGTGATCTAAAACTGAAGGCAAGGAAGACATAGGATGCCTGGTAGGACTTGGAGATAAAAATGTAGAAGAGATTATAAAAAATAAAGGGTATATATACATATCCTTCTGAGCAACTTTGATATGTTGCATTCCAGTGGGGGATAGGCAAAACTGATGTTTAAACTAAATTTGGACCTTAAGTAACCTCAACTCCACAATGCTGATGTCTAGAAGAAGTCAGGTAGATAAGACTCCAAAAGGGCTTTGAGGGGCAGAAAAATAAGAAGCAAAAAAGATACAAAGAGTAAAGCCAAGAGAAGAAAGTATATTGAGGAAAGGGAAGGGCTGTGTAGAATGACTACAGATCAAGGATGATGAGTGTGGAGGGATATACATTAGTTCAGACAGCAAGGATGTCATCAGAGACTTTCAAGAGAAAGTCTAGTACAGTGGCTGGGTGATGAGACGAGGGTTGTGTTTATGTGTATGTACCCCCGCGTCAGTTCTGATGTGACCACACAGGGAAACGCTACCCAGTTGAGCATTATCCTCAAAAAGAGGTCTGCCTCTTTTTCGCTGCCCGTTACCAGAAACCCTGGCGGTGTGGCCGTGGATATTCATTGTGCTGCTAACCACAATATCAGCAGTTTGAAATCACCAGCCACTCTGCGAGAGAAAGATGAGGCAGTGTGCCCCCATAAATATTTACAACCTCAAAAATTCAAAAGGGCAGTCCTGTTCTGTCCTGTAAGGACACAATGAGTCAGAATTGACTCACTGGCAGGGAGTTTGGTTTGAGTTTACTACATCACTAAGTATGATGTCCGTAGATTTATCTCTCTTGCTAACATATCCAACGTATATAAGATGAAGTCTCTCTATTCTTGCTTCAAGGAACCTTCCAGCTTCCAAAGCAGATTTGTTTGTTCTTCTAACCTTTCATGGTACACTTTCAAAAGTCTTTGCCAAGTCACCAGACAGACCTGGAGCTTATTTGGTTGGTTGTTTGTTTTTTACTTTTTCTATTTCTTTCGCCCTATGTCTATCTATATAAGATAGGCTGTATGAACAATCCTGAGGAGAAAACAATGGGACCAGTGGTTCCCAGGGGACATGCAAGAGGAGGGGGCAGGGAGGTGGAGTGGGGAGCCAACAAACTCAGGGATAAGGGAACAACAAGAGACCTAAAATTGATGGCGAGGAGGGTGTATAATGCCTGGAGGGGCTATCAAGTGCAATGTATCTGAGAGGAATTACTGAGAGTCAAATGGAGGGTGAGCATGATAGTGGGATAGGAGGAAGGTGAAATGAAATAGAGGAAAGAAATAGGAGACAAAGGCTATTTATAGAGGTATAGATATAGGCATGTAAATATATAAATATATTAATTTATAATGAAAGGGATAAAGGCCAATGTACATACATTTATATGTTAAGTATTAAGATAGCAGACGAATTTTGGGCCTCAACTCAAGGCCTCCCTTAACACAAGAACACTTTGTTCTAATAACCTGTCACCTTCCCAAAATGATTGCTGAAGACAAACGTGTGCATAAGCAAATGTGGTGAAGAGAGTGGATGGTGCCCGGCTATCAAAAGATATAGCATATGAGGTCTTAAAGGCTTGAAGTTAAACAAGCAGCCATTTGGCAGGAAAGCAAATAAGTCCACATGGAAGAAGCACATCAGCCCGTGTAACCATGAGGTGTTGACAGGATCAGATATCAAGTATCAAAAGATCCAAAAGAAACAACTATATCAATGTGAATCAGGGGGGTTGGAATGGAGTCGCAAAGCCCATCTCTAGACAATTAGATATCCCCCCACAGAAGGGTTATAAGGAAGGGATGATTCAACCAAGGTGCAGTATAGCACCAAGGAAACACACATCATTCCTCTAGTTTCTGAATGCTTCCCCTGCCCCGACCCCCCTGACTATCATGACCCAGTAATACCTTATAAGTCTGGCTGTACACACATTGGTACAGATTAGAACTTTCAACATATGGAATTCAGGACAGATAAACCCCTCCGGAACAGCAGTGGGAGTAGCAGTATCATGAGCTAAGGGGATGGTCAAAGAAGGGGAAAGGGGAGAAATGGGGATCCCATCACAAGGTTGGATATATAGCCCCTCAAAGGGAACAGATTACAGAATGTGGGTGAAGGGAGATAACAAGCAATGAACAGTGTAAGCTATGAAATAATAATAGGAATAGATAATTAATCAAGGATTCACAAGAGATGGAGTAGGGGGGGTGTGCGGAAGAAGAGGAGCTTATACCAAGGGCTCAAGTAGTAATAAAATGTTTTAGAAATGATGATGGAAACTTATGTTCAAATATGCTGGATACAATTGATGTACGGAATGTTATAAGAGCTGTAAGAGCCCCCGATAAAATGAATTTTAAAAAATCGTTGCCAATACCATAGTTCAAATACATCTATTCTTCTTTGATCTTCCTTATTCATATGAAGCACTTGAAAATAACCATGACTTGGGGCCAGGTCCACCTTAATCCTCAAATTGACATCCTTGCTCTCCCATACTTTACAGAGGTTAGTGCGGTACATTTGCCCATTGAGCATTGATTGTGGATCCAAGCAAAATGAAATCTATGAAAACTTCTGTCTCCCCCCACCCCCATCCCCGCCCCCTGATGACCAGAATGTTGTCTATTGGTCAAGTTGAAAGGATTTTGGTTAAGGGAGTATGAAGTAAGATGTGGATTCGTCATTCAGGAGCGAAAGAGTCAAGTTCTTGAGAAAGTGAAAGTGCCCAGGGGAAAGGCATCACCGGAGTAGCAACCATCAGGGAAGATGGTGGCAGTAGGCAGAAGAATCACGAGAATATGATTAAACTCAATTTTTATTTATTTCTCCAGAGAAGTGTGGGCTGTTAGCTCATACTTGCCTGAGAGTGAGAATGAGGGACGGGAAGCTCTGCGGGAGACTGCGGAAATAGAATGCAAATACAGCCTATTTTGAGTGTCAATTTATAAAGATTAAAAATATTGCTTAAACGCTTTCTAGGTTTTATATCAAAGCCTCTGCCTCTGGATTACATTTCATTTAAAAAATAGAGTCATTGAAAAGTAATTAGCACATCATAAAATGTGTGCTTTTCAACTGCTGCTCAGGGAAGGTGTGCATGACAGGTTGGGGAAGAATAATGTGCACACTTTTTTGCATACATAAACTTTCAAGATATTTTCTTATGGAAGGTATTCTTCAGCTTTAAATTAAGACTATATATTTGAAGTGTATTATCTTTACAAATCACTGAGGAAGAGGTTTATGAGAACGGGCCCCTTCATGGGTAAGACACCAGGCTGACATACTTAATGCAGCTCAAGAATGATGAAAGGTAAAGCAATGAGAAGAGTTCACTCTTGTCGAACTTCTAAACAAGTTGACATTAAATTGTTAGGATAATTAGTCTCAAGAGAATTTAAGGTTAAAATGTAAAGAAAAGGGAAAAATGTAATGCAAAAATAAGACATTTGTAGGTTCACATAAAAATCTGAGACTAAATGTTCATAAGATGTGTTCATAATGTAAATGATCAATTGTAAGTCAGTCAATATTTTCTGAGATTATATCATAATTTAATAATAGCGCTTGCTGGTAGTTGAGAAGTTAGTAGAAGGTTTGAATCCTTGTCTTACGTGCTTTGTATATAGTACCCTCTGTGCACTGTTCAACAAGTTACAAAGGAGATAGTCTTATCCTCTCTTGACAGATGAGATGGCTATTGCTTAAAGGGTTTAGATAACTCACCGACGTAGGAAAAGATAGAAATAAGTTTTAAGTCCAAGTATACCTGACATCAAGCTTTCAGTTCTTTTTTTATTATTATATCTTTATTCATTTGATTTGACCCAAATAGGATACTGGGTCCTTAATAAAAGGATGTATATTTGGGAAGGGCCAAAAAAAGTGGTTTTGCTTTTTTTTTTTTTTTTTTTAAGTGTTACACATTTACTCAAATGTTGGAGGAGCTCACTGTCTTCAGAAAATGCATTTCTGGAGGAGATTTTAGTAGAAAATTGAAAATTGACAGAAATGGTGGCATGAAAAAGGGAAATGTGTATTTATTTCATATCCTCAACATCCATAACATAGTTTGATTTGGATAAATGGATGAGTAAGTAAACTATGAGATCATTTCAGAGAACAGGTTTTGCTAATTTTATAGTAGTGACGCTGCTTAATCCCCATCTTCTATAAAATGAAATGTTGGAATACTTCAAAGTTCAGTCTGAGCCCCTGTGTTTCCTTAATGTTCTGCTCTCTTTTTCTTTTTCTTCTTCTCCACGTTTTCTTATCCCTTTCCTAGCCAGATGTACATTGTTGTGAAAACTCGGGTCCATTTGTCTTGAAAACTATTTGAGGATGAACTCTCTATTCCTGATCACAGTGCTAACTTCCAAACTCTTGTAACCATCTAAATGTCACCTTGATAAATGCAGTATATTATCTGATCATTATCTCAAACGTACTCCAAAAAAAAAAAAAAAAGAACTGCCATTGAGTCGATTCCAGCTTTTAGTGACCCCATAGAACAGGGCAGAAACTGCCCTGTGGGTTTCCAAGACCAGAAGTCTTTATGGAAGTAGAAAGCCTTGTCTTTCTCCCAAGGAGCAGCTGGTGGTTTTGAACTGCATAACAATTAGGGCTTCGTATATCAAACTTACATTGGCTATAAAAGAATTCCTGGTTTTTGACAGACCTCTTCTTGTCCCAGTGTTCCTGATTTCAGTAACTGGCACAACCCTCCCCAGTTGATACTCTACGTACCCTTTCATGGGCAAATCCTGTATTTTGTTTCTATCCCTTCCTCCCTATGTCCATAGCTACTCTCTAAGTCATCTCAACCAAGCATTAGCCACTCGCCTTGGATCACCGGAATGACACAACTCACCTCTTTGTGCTCCAATAGTTCCCTGTCCACCAGCTGCCTATGCTAACTAACTCACACTCACTGCCATCTAGTCGATGCCAACTCATAGGGGCCCTATGGAACAGGGCACACTGCCTCCGTGGGTTTCCAAGACTATAAGTAGTTATGGGAGTAGAAAGCCCCATCTTCCTCCCACAGAGCGGATGGTGGTTTCAAACTGATAAGCTTTCAGATTGCAGCCCAATGTATAACCATTACACCACCATCTACAGTGGTATTTTAAATGTAAATGAAAGTTCATAACTCCACTTCCTACCTTTTTGTTGCTAACTTTAAAAAATACAATCTCTACTCCATGTTATACGATTGTGTACATGATCTCCTCCCCATGTTCTACGAATGTGTGCGTGCTCTAGACCCTGCCAACGTTGTCACTGTGCTTCGGTCACTCATCACGCTCTAGCCAGCAATAGCTGGTTCCTTTTTCTCCTTTAGGTCTCAGTTTACATTCAGTATCCTCACAGAGCCTTCTCAGACAACAGTTTCTCACCAGGCCCTATTTACTTTTTTCCCCAGAATATTTATTAATCTCCTAAAATAACAAATAAATCTTTTTAATGTATTTGCTTATTACATGTCTCTCTTCACCTTTACCCCTAGCCTACCAGGGCAGGAAAGAAGCCCTATAACATTAGCCAGTTTATCTTCTTCATCACCATATTCCTAGCCTACCCCATTAATCCTAGTGAATTAAAAATTGAGGGATAGTAAATTCATGAGTGTATCATACCTGACGTCAAGCCTCAATGTGTATATATAAATATAGAGATATAAATTATTCCTCTTGGCTTATAATCAGTAATATTGTATTGCTTAAATTCTTCTTAAACAGAATATTTTTATTACACCGAAGGATCCAAGGATGCTCTGCTTTGTGGTTTCAGTGGAGATTCAGGGTAAGTAATAATATTAATTTTATGGGGTTTTTTTTGTCTATATGCTGCAAAAGAAAGGCAAGCATGCTCAATCAGTTTGCTAATCCGAACCTTTGGTCTACATTGCTTTCATATATTGATTGATAATGGTTTGACTCATCCTGTCCCAATGTGAAAGTACCTAGGTGGTACAGAATGGTTTGTTTTTCCCTAATAACCTAACAGGTGGCTGCTCAAGCCCCCCCAGTAGCACCATGAAAGAATGGGCCAGTAATCTGCGATTATAAAAATTACAATCAAGTACACACAGAGGAAAAGATAGATGATTGGGACATGCTGAAATTACATTACTTATACACATCATCAGGAGAATAAAGTGAGAGCCCACAGATCGGGAATTTTTTTTTCAACCAACGACATATCAGAAAAAGGGCTAATTAGCAAAATACACAGAACTCTACAACAGCTCAGTAAGAAAATAACGAGACCCAATTAAGAAATGGGAAAAATATATGAACAGACAGTTCACCAAAAATGAAGTCCAAATGGCTAGGAAACATATTAAAAAATGTTAATGATCACTAGCCATCCAGGAGATGCAAATTAAAACCACAGTGAGATACCACTTTACACCCAAAATGATAGTCCAAATCAAAGAAACAGAAAACAATAAATGCTGCAGAGGATTTAGAGAGATTGGAACTCGTATAAACAATTGGTGGACTTGAAAATACATACAGCCATGAATGGAAAACAATATGGTGATACTCAAAGCAACTAGGAATTGAAATCCCACATGATCCAGCAATACCACTATTAGCCACAGACTGTAGAGAAGTAAATGACAAAATACAGGTGGGCATATGCTCCCCCGTGTTCATAGCACAGTTCGCAATAGCAAGAAACCAGAAGCAGCCCCAATGCGCAATAGTGGAAGAATTGATAAAAACTGTGGTACATCCCCACAGTGGAATACTTATGCGTCCCTAAAACACAGTGATGGACGCATGCAACCCCGCATGACATGGAGGGGCCTGGAGACCATTATGCTGAGTGAAGTTAGTCAATCACAAAAGGCCAAGTATTGTGTGAGTCCACTACTGTAAGAAGAAATACCAAGTAAACCAACCAATTCCCCAACAAAAGTTGAGAAAGCGACCTACCGGCCGTGAACCATGCCTCCCCTTCCCTTCACAAGAACCAGCTTGGAGGAGGAGACCTCTCATGGCCTGAGGGCACCCCTTCAAGAGGGGGACACGGGAGCTGACCATCCACTTGAAGCTACAGTGAACCCTCGTTTATCGCGGTTAATCGGTTCTAGACCCTACTGTGATAAATGAAATTCCGCGAAGTAGGATTCCTTATTTGTAAATCAAATATTTTCGTAGTTAGAGCATAGAGGACATGAAAAAACACCCTTTAGTCACCATTACACTCGTATTACCCAATTTATTAAACGAAAAAGGGAAAATACAGTAAAAGATTTTGGACTTTACAATTATCATTTATTATTTATTATATTATTTATGGCATCTAGTTTACAGTATTACATATTTCACATACAGTATTGTTATACATAGTTCTTACAAATACTGTAATCAATAGCCTATGAAATGACTTAAGGGATGTACTCTACAAGTGGGTCGCTGTCTTTTTCCTCTGAAGGAGCGGGTGTAGGCAGTGGGTGCTGTTATGCAAAAACCGCGATAGAGTGAAGCTGCGGAAGTCGAAGCGCGAAGTGGCGAGGGTTCACTGTATATAGCATCGAGACAAGGCTGGGGATCGAAGGAAAATCTTGACAGAAAGTCAGGCTAAGACCAGGGGAGGGGGCTATCTACATTTTGGAGGAAACGCTGATAGCTCTGTTGGTAAGGTGGGTGATTGGGGAGAAGTAAGCTCACATTGAGTGTAGGGAACCTAGGGGGACAGTGGGTCGGATTTTATGTTTGTGGGTAGAAACTATGTGGGTTCAACCTTTGGTGAACCAAGCCTTGGACTAAGCACCATGGTGATCATGGGAGCTGACCTTGCAGGCAGCAAGGCATACCGCAGGGGCTACTCCAGAAGGACTTCATAGTGGCCTGGCTGAATGAGCCTTGGACTGAGGCCTCGGGTACTTGGATGGGAGAGGAAGCAGAGTGGTAGGCTCGGCAGTGTGGAAGTGGCAGTCATTGGATCAAGGGGAGAACCTCTGGCTTGGTGGATGTCCAATGGAAAGGGGCCCAGAATCTCCATATACTTAGTACCTCAATGTCCCCCTTGTAGTGACATGACTGGTTTTGATCTACTAGGCAGGGATCTTCAATTAGAATAATTGATCCAGGAAGATCCCCTATGGCCCCAATCCTCATCCTTAGGGTAAACAACCCAGTTGAACTGGAGGTCCAACAATGTAGGGTAGCAACTCATGGGTTGTGGCTCAAGGTGGAAATGTGCTCACAGAGGCTTCTCATACCCACATTGTCCAGAGAGCTGTCATTGGGAAAATTGAAGATGTTGTCAGTGCAATTGCTTTATACCCCAGAGGGATGATCGACAATTGTGCTTTTTTGTTTCTATGGGTTTTTGTTTTCCTGCTTTTAGCTATTTTGTCCCCGTTTGTTTGCTGCTTGGTTTGTTGCTGTTCTTGGTGTAGTTGGTCTTAAGGGGTTTTGATTTTGTCACATTATAGCCGCCAAAGTAAACTTGAGTCGTACATATCCCAATGGATTCTGAGCTCCTACTTAACTCCAGCCCCAATCCAAAAACAGTTAGTTCTGACAACATGGCCCTGCCCTATACTCACCTTCATGAAATGATCACTGAATATAGCAGCAAAGTGTGGTGAAGAAAGCAGGTGGTGCCTGGCTATCAACTGGGGTTTCAGAGGCTTGTTTTCAAACAAGCAGCCATCTAAGTGAGGAGTTAACTAAGTCCACATGGGAGAAACACACCAACTTGTGTGATCCAAAGATGACAATAACAAAATTCAAGTATTATTAAAGGGAAATTATCAGAGCTACAATTATGAACATCCATTTGGTAGAAGGCTGTGAAGGACAGTGGGACCCCAAAACCAATCTACAGAGTAACTAGTTCAATTAAGCTGCTGGCAGATCCCCATTAGCCACAGGCAAGGGTCTCCTTAAACAACCTTACTATCAGATGATGATCATTGTAATCTTGATTATGCTCCATGGAACTTGATATGTGGACAGCTGACTTCCCTATTGACCCACCCTGAATTTGTTCTAGGTGCAAGTATCTCCTGCATGTTCCATGACAAAACCTTGTCCCCTGGCTTTTTAAATATCGAGGGTGGTCTTTTCTTTCTTAGTCCTATTTGTATTTTTATCTTTATACTATTTTTATTTTATCCTTACCATTTTATTTCAATTTTGTTTTTTAAATTTTTTGTATTGTATTTCCAAGTTTGTGAAACACAGAAGGAATGCATGTATAGAGATGTTAACGGATGCGATGGTTTTAGGGGATGTCAAGGTTGGGGTGAGTATAGGGAGGGTGAGGATTTGGGGGACAAACACTGGAGACGAGAACAGGGAGGGAGCACTAGAACTGACTGTGATGACACAACTCATTTTAAACACGATTTAATCACGGGGTGGGGGGAAGGGTGTTCTAAAATTGATTGTGGTAATGATTGTACAATTTTTCTTGATATGATTGAACTATTGAATTCTATGATATATGTATTAGGTGCCAATAAAAAATGCAAAAACCAAAATTACAATAAAGAAAACCTTAGGAACTAGTTCTAATATGTAACCTGTGGAATCACCTTGAGTCAGAATCAACTCAGCAGCAGTGGGTTTGGTTTGGGGTTTTGGTTTCAAAGTGAGACCAGACTTGGTCTGCACACTTTTGAAAGGAAGACTTTGAGTTTGTGCTTGGATTTAAACTAGAGAAAAATAACTAGCTATAAACTTTAATACTGTAGAGACATTCATAAGAAAAAGGAACCGAACATTGCCTGGGTAGTGTCAAGCCTTCGTGAAAGAAGAATAGCAGAACTCATTTAGCTGAAAGTGCCCTGGTAACCAAATGCTTCCAGGCCTGGCTGCGCACTGAAAAGGTGGTGTTTTGAACTCACCAGCTGCTGTGCAGAAGAAACACGTGACAGTCTACAAAGATCTACTGCTCAGCAAACCCTGTGGGAAGTTCTCTTCTGCCCTGTAGGTTTCCGTGCACATTAGAAGCAATTAGATGCCAGCCGTTTTCCTAAATTCTACTTCTTTTTTTTTTTGTCACTGAATTTTTGTTATTGCTTGCTTTTCATTTGTTGTTTTCTTTTGTTTTTTTGTGCTTATGATTGTCTCTGCAGGTCTATCTAGATAAGAGAGGCGGGATAAACAATCTGGAGGAGAAAACAACAGGACCTACAGTTTATGGGGCACATGGGAGAGGAGAGGTGGGGAAAGGAAGTGGGGTTAACAAACCTAGGGACAAGGGAACAACAATGATCTAAAATCGATGGTGAGGAGGGTGTAGGATGCCTGGTAGGGCTTGATCAAAGGCAATGTAACCAAAAGGAATTACGGAAACCTGAATGAAAACCAAGCATGATAATGGGACAAGAGGAAAGTAAAAGGATATAGAGGAAAGAACTAGGAGGCAAAGGACATTTATACAGGTCTAAATATAGGCATGTACATATGTAAATATATATATAAGTAGGGAAATGGATCTATGTACATATAATTATATGTTAAGTATCAAGGTAGCAGATGGACATTGGGCCTCTACTCAAGTATTCCCTCTATGCAAAAACACTTTGTTCTATTAAACTGGCATTCCATGATGCTCACCTTCCCAACACAATCACTGAAGACAAATGGGTGTATCATCAAATGTGGTGAAGAAAGCTGATGGTGCCCAGGGTCTTAAAGGCTTGAAGATAAAGAAGCAGCCATCTAGCTAAGAAGCAACAAAGTCCACATGGAAGAAGCACACTAGCCTGTGTGATCATGAGGTGTTTTCCTAAATTCTACTTCTCCAGTTAAATGAGTCACATGACTAAGTGATGTGATGTTTGACCCCTCTAAACAAAATGATGTCCAGGTTATAGGTAAAGATATTTTAAGAACCTCATAATTATACAAATACCCAGTGTGGATAGTGAGAACATAAAAACAAACAAGAGAAGGGGACTCCTAAAACTGTATTTATATAATGATGTCTTGGATGTTGTTTGGTGCCTTCCAGTTGGTTCTGACCCAGAGCGACCCTATGCATAACAGAATAAACCACTGCTTGGTTCTGTCCATCACTGTTCTGTTTAAGAGCCCATTACTGGAGCCACTGTGTCAGCCATGCCTGACCTTGTACATTACCAAGGATAATGTCCTTCCCCCAGGGACTGGTTCCTCCTGAGAACATGTCCCAAGCATGTGAGAATCAGTCTTGTCATTCTCACATTTAAGGAGCATTCTGGCTGTACAGTTGCTGTACTGTTTCCAAAACTGATGTCTTCATTCTTTGGCAATCCATGATAGATCCAAAGGGATCAAAGGGATCACTTTTAATTCCACTTTCTTCATTAATTATCTAACTTTTGAATGCATATGTGGTGATTGAAAATGTTCAATAATTTTCATATCTATTGGCAAATGTATGGATCTCGTCCAGTCAGTTGGCCAAATTTTTGGTCATAGATGAGTGAGCATTTCCAGTGACTTATCTTCATTAACATTTTCAGGAAGCCTTTTACTGAAGATTTACAAAATGTGTCACTTGTTTTCTGAACTGCAGCTTTTATAGGCCTTCATTGTGTGTTAAAGCACAGTGAAAGCCTTGATACCTTCAGTCTTTTCTCTATTAATCTTGATGCTAATGATTGGTCCAGTTGTGAAGATTTTTTTGTGTATTGAAGGTTATGCCTTTGATCTTCAGTAAGTGCTTCTAGACCCCTTCACTTTCAGGAGGCAAAGTTTTATCACCTCTTTATTGCAGGCTGCTAAGGAGTCTCTCGCATGATGCCATGTTCTTCTTCAACTAGTCTAGTCTTGTGTTATTTGCTATCCATGCAGACCAAATATGTATATTCAAAGGGTGCAACCATGATGCACACATTTCCTGATTTAAAACCATCCAATGTCCCCTTGTTACTCTATGCCTATGTACAGAGTGTAAATGAGCACAACTGAGTGTT